TACTTCATACTGTGTATTAGCAGTATGCTGTTTTTGTAGTGGATATACAAGTATTGATTAGTAATGTTGCAGGAAGTTAAAGAGGACCTGTTATGATTGTTCTTATTTTCTGTCATGTGTATATACTGTTACAATAGTGGATCCTCATATTAAACTTGGCCAGAGTTTTGAGTAATTTGTTCACTTTATGAACAAGTAAACCCTGTCAGGCGTCAAACTTCTCCAAACGCACAGTTTCTGATAGTTTTTTTTTTTTTTTTTCTTCTACTACTTCTGGTTGTATGATGTTCATGAGAGGAGTAATCCTTAACACCTCTCTTTGTGAGGGGCATCCAATCAGAAGAGCCCCTTAAAGAGGGGTTTGCTACACATGGTGGATGAACAGCAGAGCAAGAAGGGAAAGTGATTCTTTATGGAGTCTGGATTTTTTTTTTTTCTCCAAGCTTCTGTGGGTTTCTCTTCTGAATTCTGGTTTCTCCCCTGCCAAAAACATGAAACACATTGGAAAAATGTTTTGTTAATGACACGCTGCTTACAGCACAAGAATGTCAAGAATTGATATCCAACATACTCTGAGAGATCTAAGTAGTGTTTTACTGGGCACTGTGTCTACGAGTTAGTCCCAATAAATTTAAGTGATTTAATTTCAAGAAAGCTGGAGTTGAAATCAGATTCAATATAACGTTAGACTAGATACAAGTCCAAACTTCTTTTTCTTCTCAGAAAATAATCACAATGCATATTTGGAAGTATTACCACTTGCCACGGAACAGTAAATGGCTACTTTCCTGAAGAATACATGCTTTTACTTTAAATATTTCAGGTATACTTGATGCAAATATCTACATCACATTTATTTAGGCTTGTAGACATGGTCAAAATGAAGTTCAACTGAGCATGGGGATGGGTAATTTAAGAAACTTTGAAAGGTGAAAATGCCTGACAACTTTGAACTGATCCAAAAACTCATTTAATTACTTGTTATAAACACAGGAATGCAGAGGAGCATCTCTGAATGCACAGCATGTTAAACCTTGAAGTAGGTGAGCTAAAGCAGCAGATACCCCACAATCAGTGCCACTCCTGTCAGCTCAGAAAAGGACACAGAGGATACTCTTCACGCGGGATCGCAGAAGATGGACAGTAAAAAACTGGAAAAAATTTGCCTGGTCTGGTGAGTCTTGATTTTTGCAGCAATATTCAGATGGTAGGATATAAATTTTGGTGTAAACATCATGGAAGCATGGCTCCAACTTTTTTCCTGAAAAGTTTTCAAACATTCCACACACGCCAGTCCGCTAGGGGGCATTAGAGACGGTTTGATACCCGGATTGTGCTGTATTCATGACTACACGCAGAACAGGAAATGTGAAAATTGTGGCAGTTACGATAGGTAACGCCATTAAAACTAAGAAAAAAACGAAAACGAATCATCTAAGAGATTAAGTTGTCTTTTAACGTCATGTTAAAATCATGCAAGCCAAACTGAATGGAAACGGAATGTTTATACATTTAAAATAAACTGTATATGTTTCACGGAAATGTTTGGGGACGGGGGATTCTCATATTTACTATTTGCAGTCGTAAACTGAACGCAGCCTTAGATGAAGCGTGCTATTAGGACGCATGCGCGGTGCCCCAGTCGTGCGGGGTTAGTTTAGGAGACGTTAGCGTTGCAAAATACGTGGCAGAAAGGTGTCAACATGGAGATAGCTGCTCTGGCCGCGTTAACTTTGTTACTGGGTGCACTGGTTATTCTGGTTGCGTTAGCGGTGGGCAGACGGAAAGAAGAAATAAGAGAGGAAACGGAGCAGGCAGCGGAGTTTGCCGGTAAGAGCCACTCAGGCTAACGTAACTCTAGCTAGCTGGAGAAGGGGGAGACTGTGGAGAAGGCGGCAAGTCAGTCATACTGCATTCATTCATTCACTCACTTACTCAGTAATCGGTTCATTCAACAAAAGAGCTCCGTGCCAACGATATTAACACGAACTCAGAGCTAGAAGTACAAGCTACGGTAACTTTTGAGTGGCTGTCACTGTCACATTAACAGACCAATGGGTGCACTGCTTTCTGTCGAGTCACTGCCTGTTTTTTAACGCTTCATTGATGACAAAGGTTCCAATCGGTATCTGTAGCACGTAACATTAGTTAATGACAACACTCCTGTACATGTAAATGGTAAATGGCTTGTATTTGTATAGCGCTTTACTTAGTCCCTAAGGACCCCAAAGCGCTTTACAGCGTAAAGTAGAATAGCTCACTGTATAAAGATAGTACTTAAAAGTTATAAAACAGAGGAAGGTTAGCACATTCATCTGATGTTGAGTCTGTTTAATTTAACTATGTTTGAAGAAGAATTTACATTAAATTAAATTTTGGACTAATAAAGACGTAGTTAGACTATTATTTTTTCTCCAGGTAATAGGATTCAAAGTTTATAATTGAATAATAATACAGTAATAATCCTGGGCATAATTTTTATAACCTTGGAGTTAATCACTTTAATAGTAACTTATTATAGTTTTGTGTTGTCTAAATAGGTTTTGTTTGTGTCATGATACCAAGGATTGGGAAATTACACATCAATTATCTTTTAGCTGTTTGTTAATGCTTCATAACACCCAGATCATGTTCAGAAATAGCATAACCAATGGTTTATTCTAAAATGAAATGTGTGGAAATAAAACTTTTTTTAATGTTCTTAGCCTTTTCCTTATGACTGGGCTTTGACATACATGCTAATGTGCAGGCTTGTTGAAGAAGACTGCTTATAAAAGTTAGATACACTTATATTGTTAGTAAAATTACAGAAGACCAACCACACAAACCACACAACTTAATTAAATAATGATAATAGAAAAACTTATAATAAAAAGTAAAGAAATAAAATGGAAACCTAAAAAACAAAATGAGTACGTGTATTTTGTTTATATTTATGTTAGAAATTGTGCAAAATTACAAATTCCATATGATATGTTATTATCTGTATAATGCTAAACATATAGCATTATAAATGGACTGGTTCTGTTTTGTAAGTGCTTTGTACTACAAGACTTATTAACACAAGCACTTTTTTCCTGTGCCTAACTACTTACTACCTAATATTTATGCTCTATGAGCCCATTGGAGAGCAACTTGGGGTTCACTATCTTCCCCAAGGATACTTTGGCATGCAGACTGAGGCAGCCAGTGATCAAAGCAGCAAAGCTCCAATTAGTAGAACTGCTTATTCTCCTGATATACAGCCATCTGAGTAATAGTTTGTATATATCCTTTTAAAATAGTCTTAGTGGGCATCAATGGTCATGTTTTTCCTGTGTGTCTTCCAGCTGAAGCCAGTGCTGTGAAGGGTTCCCAATCCAAGAAGCAGAAGCAGGAGAAGCAGCGTGGCCGCAAGGATAAACCTACACAACACACTTTCAGCCATCCGCTGCTGGCAGCCTCTCTGAAGGTAAACTGAAACAATCATCAAACACACACATTGTAAAAGCCTCAGAGGACAAGGAAGAGTTTTCATAAGAGACCGGAGTTTGGTTTGTTTTAAGTCACTGTAGGTTATGCGAGTTAAAAGCCTTGCTTTTGTTTTGGTCTAGATGCCGCTCAGCTCAGTGAGCTGTTCTGAAATAATTTAACAAGGTTTCACTTGCACCCTCTCCATAGGCATTTTTCTGCATGTGTGTATTTGTTTCCATGTGCCTTTTAGGGCCACAGTGGAAATGTGACGTGCCTCGATTTTAGCAGTAACGGGAAGTACCTGGCGTCCTGTGCTGACGACCGCACTGTTCGGATCTGGAGCACCAAGGACTTCCTGGACCGCGAGCACAAGTGTCTGAGAGCCAATGTGGAGCTGGATCACGCTACGCTGGTCCGGTTTAGCCCTGACTCCAGGTCTTTAACTACACTTACTGACATAAAGCATTTCTTCTCTTTCCTAAGGAAAGTGAATTGTACACAAGAGCTAGTGTAAGTTTAACATAAACCAGGTCAAAGAGGTTTACAAAAGACTTGTGAAGTAACTTGTTTGATGATCTGAAACATGTAAGCATGTAAAATATGAAGAAAAGTAATCAGTAAGTGGACCAATACCTTTTCAAAGTATTATACACAACCAGAGTTATGGTGAGGTAATCTTCAGAAAATCTTCACTGATTTTCTCCTTTTCTCTACAGGGCGTTTATCACCTGGTTGGCCAACGGAGACTGCATACGAATCTTCAAAATGACAAAGAAGGATGACGGCTCCATGAGCTTCAAAGCTGCTCCCGAGGATTTCCCACAGAAGCACAAGGCCACCATCCTCAACATTGGCATCGCAGAGACAGGTACAGAATGCCGAAATAACTTAAAAGTTTTTACTTATAGTATCGGCTAGTAACGCAGTTAACACAGCTGGGTTTGTTTTTATCACCAGCTGGGTTTTTGAAAGTGGGTGAAACCATTTGTGGTTTAGTATTTAACAATCAGTAAATTCATTTCAATGTTTCTTTTATTCATCTGCTCCATCTCTTTGATTATTTGTCCAGTCTTTGGGTTAGTCAGCCTCTTGACAGCCTAACTGTTTTAAGAAAAAAATCGACCCACCAACAAACAACAAAAGTTGACTCTAGTTTCACATGAGAAATAAAGCTGTCAAAAAAGGGAATATCTGTTAAAACCTTATTTATTGATTTATTGATTTTTCAGTATTTGTCACCAGTTTATGGGGCTGATATTGTGTTTGTCACCCACAGGCAAGTTTATCATGAGTGCCTCCACCGACACCTGTATCAACATCTGGGACCTGAAAGGAGAGGTGCTGGCCTCTATCAACACGAACCAGATAACCAATTCTTATGCTGCCATCTCCCCATGTGGCAGGTCAGTCCCACTCCTTATTTACTGCACAGCTTACACTTGAAAGCTTAGAAATGATATACATCTACTCTGTAAGTTTATTGTTTTACTGTTTCATGACATTAAAACAGAAAAAGTGTCTATAAGCGATGTTTTACAGTAAGAGCTGTAGGTTCTTCTGCTTTAAACTGTTGTTGAGAAAAGTAAAGGTCTGAAAAGTAATTTTCCCACATGTAAGATGATTTCTTCATATTGTTTTTACTTTTAAATTCCATTCAGTAAAATAAAAATCGAAATAAAAATAAGTGTTTGAATTGCGTGTCACTCTTTGGGAGCTCTGATCCTGCTTCATCTATTCGCTCAGGTTTGTCGCGTCCTGCGGCTTCACTCCTGATGTGAAGGTGTGGGAGGTTTGCTTCGGCAAAGGAGGAGACTTCAGAGAGGTGGTGCGAGCCTTTGACCTGAAGGGCCACTCAGCTGGAGTCCACGCATTTGCCTTTTCCAACGACTCTCGCAGGTAATACGCTGCAATATTTGAGATGGAAAATAAATGGTTGTTTATAAGCTGAGACAACATAAAATGGCATATAAACGTTAAAGTGAAAGTAAAGAAGCCTGCTGTGTTAAGCAGTAATGCTTTCTTTTCATTTTTCAGGATGGTGAGCGTCTCCAAAGACGGCACGTGGAAGCTATGGAACACGGACGTGGAGTACAAAAAGCAGCAGGATCCCTACCTCCTGAAAACCGTTCCCTGCAGCTCGTCTGAAGGCAGCCGGGTGGCCTTGTCTCCAGATGGCCGGGTGGTGGCCGTCAGCGATGGCTGCAACGTGGCCATGTACGATGCTGCCAGCGGAAAGCTGGAGGAGGAGATGCACGGCGTCCACAGCGTGGAGATCACGGACCTTAGGTTTGACATTAACGGACGCTTCTTGGTGTGCAGTGGCGACAAGGCTATCCGAGTGTTTCACAATGCTCCGGGCTACCGGGCTGCCATCAAAGACATGCAGGACATGCTGAGGAAGGCTCAGAACGAGGCCATGAAGCAGAGACTGCAGCAGCAGATCAAAGAGGCTCAGAGTGCCTTGGACGCTGTGCTCGCTGCCCCCTCCAACTAAACAGAAATAACGGGAAATCACACTCTGAATGTGACAGTGTCAGACTCTGCTAATCATTTGTTTGCATAGTCACCTCTGCCTCTTAATGATCTGGACTGTGAAGATGAGATTTGCATGCAGTTTAATAAAAGGTATCTTTTTATGGAAGTGCTTCGTTTGATTTGAGACATTTGGACTTCTGAGTGTGATGTGCTGTGATTGTGTTTGATTTGTCATAGTTTGTGAAATTGGTCTCATAGTTCTTCAGAGTCACTATGTGGAAAAAGGAACAGATTAACAGTCCCTTTAACATCTAATGGCCACTGTCGGTTTGGGTGCTTCATTTCCAAGTCCAGGTGTTGTCTGTGCTGACTCACTGTGAAACTTTGAACACAAACTAATGTTAATGTCCACCTTTGCTTTTCCTACTGTGGTAGGTCAAAATTTCTGCTGTGAAAAAAGTTAAAAGTGTAATATTTTCCCAGAGGGTGGCGCTGCAGTAAAATTCCTTTTCTGCTTATTACAGCCAAAGTAAATCTTTGGAAATCTCCTCTTTGAAATCCTTAAAGCTTTATCTAATGGCATTGCTATTGAGAGTTAAAAATTAGGCCTCAGTTGACACCTGTGCACTCTCACATGGGTGTACAATTCAGTGCAAATACCATAAGAGGATTTGACTTCAGAGCAGAACGTAAATTGTGAGGTGCCTTTTAAGTACAACTAACTGAAAGAAGTGTGAGCAAGATGTCCGGCATCTTGAAAACACAGGTGAAACCACCTCTTCGGATCTGTCAGAGTGATAAAAATAGCCTTCAAAGTCACTGAAACTGGGGAAGAAAAACTAGCTTATTCCTCAGTCCATCCTAGCAGCCCACTGAAGGTGTATTTGATCCTCACAAACAGAGTTGTAGCGGGGAAGTCTGGAGCGTCCTATAATCCCCAGAAAGTTAAAGCATATCAAAATAATCCTCAGGATTTGCAGAATTTGTAACTTGTTTTGAATAAAGGCATATATTTGATTACAGTGTGCTTGTGTATGAGGATTTGGGTATAAAATAAGGCCTTAAGTATCTTAATTCAATTGTGCAGTCTGGATTAATTTTTGTAGCTTTAATAGAAGACATTCTGAATCTCTGTGCCCTTTTTGGTATTTTTTTAAGACTGTCAGAATGAATATTTTGTAAAACAACACCAAAAAAATAAATAATATTCCCTTAAACAACATTAATCAGTTATTTTCCAGTCTTTCAGACCAAGACATGGGCCTGTTATATTAATCAGAAAAACGGGGTGATCCAGTGTAATGTGTGGCTTGAGTAGTTTATATAAAAAATTATAAGTCATTTATAGGTTGGAGAACAGATTCAGAATACTTTATTGATCCCAGAGGGAAATTGTTTTGTTACTCACACTGAAAATATAAATATGAAAGATTGAAAATATAAAGTGAATTTTTTATATTCAAACAAAGGCACACAAAGTGCAATGTTAAATTAAAATAAAATGTTCCAATTCTAGTGAAAATGTAATGGATGGACAAATCAAGGCAAATCAAATGAAAAAAGTCACCATTTATTTTAACCATTTGGATGAAATAAATCTTAAAACAAGGCTCATGGTAACAAAAACATGTTTTATGATATTAATTAAATGTAATTCAATAAATAAATGCATTGATACATTTTTATTATTTATTATTATTCGAATATGTGGCTATATATGCTCATTTTCTAACAACTCTTTTAACAATATTATATTATATTATATTATATTATATTATATTATATTATTCCCTTCTGTGACTCGCTCAATAAAGTTTTTTTCTTCTTAAAAAAAACATGGCTGGTAAGTTGACCCGGATGTAGTTTCCGTGAGTGAGGCACGTGTTCCCCCTGCAGCAGCATGAGTTGAGGTGGTGGTGGCATTTGGAACAGATGTCTGTAGAGATGGTGGAGCTCTCAGTGAAGGCGGCGGAACCGCTCCGGCCCGCCGGTAACCTGCAGCAGAACCGGGTCTTCCTCGACTTCTTCTGGGACCTGGCCAAACCGGATCAAGAGGTCCGACTGAAGGCGGTGGAAAACCTGATACAGTACCTAAAAACCAACAACAAGGTGAGGCAGACTGCGATCGGTGTCACTGAGAGACGGAGCGTGGTCCCGCTGCACATGTACTCCTCAGACGTTTTCCACTAGTAGTTTTAGAAGTAGTAGTTGTACACATAGTGTCGTATGGAGAGGTGGGAGATGTTTTCATATGTAACTGATTATATGACTGGATATCATACAGGATATCATTGACACACTGAAGTATTTCAAGTATCAAGAATTTAAATACTCATATAACAGTTTCAGGCCTATATTATTAACATAAGGCACTATTACCGTAACTACCTACTTTATCAAAACTTGTTAAAATACCTTGTATACAGTATAAGAATCAAAACATTAAATAAAATTACTTAAAAATATAGTAAACCTTTTCTTACCGTACTGCAAGCAGAAATACTGTAAAGCACAGTAAAGTATTTTACTGTCAAGGGTCAAGGATGAAGGATAAAGAGTGCACTTATAAAAATGTCTGAGTTTAGTATGTAGTATTTCTTGTATAAGTATATTCCAGTATATATATGATTCCACACAGTGTTTAAAGTGTCTGTAGTTTCAAAGTTTTAAATCATCTTTCTTCATGTTTTGCAGGAGGATGAGTTGGAATACACCTTTAAAAGGCTGGTGGATGGACTGGCTCACACACGGGAGACTGCGAGACCTGGGTTCAGCCTCGCTCTGGGGCAGGTGAGTGGAGTTTATCCCCATCTATCTTTGTCTGCAGCCCTGCCTCTGCGCACACATCCACAGCTTCAGCCACATCTCTTTGTTTCAGGGTTGGGGGTAATAAACACAGACTTATACACACCTTTTTTTTTGGCACATTTTTGTACGTACAAAAGTGTCACTATAAGCTTTGTATAGCAATAGGTTATGGCATCAGCATGTACACATATACCTAATAAAGTGGTCAAGATGTGTTGCCGTTACTCTTCATTAAAGAGCAAATTCAAAAGTCTAAGGAGTAGATGTGATCATGTTAAAAGCTAACCAGTCAGCTGTAAAGCCCAGCTTTATATTCATCTTAAATTAGGGTGGTAGCCAGAAGTTTCCAGGGTGTCATTATTTTTATTTATTTATTTTTAGAAAGAGGGGCAATACATATTAATGAACATTTTAACAAATGTAAATATGCCAGATTATAGCCTTGGGCTAATTTCCATCTGCAGACCCTCTGGCAGGTTGGTGTTAAACACAAGTTAGTAAAAACATACAGAGACACTATTTTACAGGTCATGTGACAAGGACAAAAACAGTGATCACATTATACTAGAACAAACAATGACAAGGAGAGTGGACACAGAGGACAGTATAGATGACAATAACGGAAACACATCAATTATATTACGTACACTGGAATTTGTTTTTCCCCCTTGTCAAACATGGACATACCTCCTGAATGAATCATCCTTTGCTTTCTGTCTAGCATGGGCAGTCTCCTTTTATTTGTGTATCACCTTCTGTACAGCGTCATGCAATTTAAAGTGCTAGTTTTGCCTTATTTTAAGATGAGTATTGAACTGAATATATTGGTCCTAATGTGGGTTTTGGAGTGTGTACAAATGCTGTTTTGCTGCTAGTGTTAGGAAAGTGCTCTATAATAACTGAGCTAAGCAGTAAAGTTTCCCTTATTTTTAGGTTTTGAGTGCCTTTGAAGATGTCTCCCTGCAGAGTATACTCAACAGAATCAAAGAAAAGCACAACTTGCAAGGAGCTAAAAAGGTGAGTTTTGGGTGTTTGGTCTCTTTTAGCACCAAAATCGATGAATGCAATCTTTGAACTTGTTTCATCTTTTGTCTTTCAGAAATTTTCCAGAAATGCTATGTTTGGAAACTTGTTTGGTGTTCTTGCCCTTCATCAGTCCAACCGCCTCTCTAAGGTAAGTTTTCTCACATTTTTAGCATACTTGGAAAAAATTTTGCTGCATTAAAGAGGAGAATGTGCCTGAGACAATATACTGAGGATGCCTGCAAATATTTAAGGGATACCAATCGTGTCATCATCATCACTTTCAGATCTTTGTGCGGTTGTAAATTTCACGAAAGATTTAAGATCCAGGTGACAGAGGAGATCCAGGACAGCTGATGCTCTGTCAAATACGTTGTGGTCTCTGAGCTCTCTGTCTTGTTTCTGTGCAGGAGCCGCAGGTGGTGTTGGGATGTGTGCAGCTCCTGCAGAGCCTCAGTCAGCACAAACAACACCTGAAGGACCTACCCGCCAAGACCATGATGGACATCCTCGCTGAGGTGACAGCTGCAGCCTAGTTACTGCTACAAAAATAGTGTTTTTCAACTATTTTCAGGGGTTTTCTGACTCTAGTGTATGTCATCCTGTCCATCAGGTCCCTGAGGAGGTGTTTGAGGAGGTCCTCATGGGAGCCCTGCAGACTGACCTGGAATCTGCTTTCAGGACTCCGGAGCAGCTGCAGCTGCTGCTGGTAGCTCTGCAGCGCTTCCCACAAACCCTCAAACCCAAGAAACTGAAGAAGTTGCTGGGCTCCTCCACCATCATCAACGCTGACAACATACCCAAGTAAGAAGCTTTCACAAACACGCACATCTTCTGCTGCTGATCTGAATGTTCATTTTAGCTTACACTGCTCTGTGCTGGCTACACTACTGTAAGTGCATCCTATAATTATGCACCACTTTCCCCTTCTGGGTCTGCTAATCAGCAGCTTCTGACTGAACTGTCTAATCTGATGTCTGGCAGAATAACAGAAGTGTTGAAGACGGCAGCCCACGCTGTGAAGAAGGAGCGCATCCTCCCAGCAGTGGTCCTGGACCTCCTGAAGCTCTCTCTGAAGGAAGACAGCTTTGAGCTCTTCTGGAATAAAGCCATCACTGATGGCATGTTAAAGGAACAGCCGGGGCCAACTCAGTGAGTCCTGTCAGCTTTAGAGGGAGCCTGCAGCCCGTTGAACAGTTAGCCCTTTAAAATGAAGTAATTAAATATTGTTATGCTCACTGGAAATGGTTTTATCAGATGTGAACTAACTGTGGTAGACAACTGAGTGCTGAAACAGCACTTTTTTAATACCACTGACTTCGTTATCCTGTATCA